ATCAGCTGGGGCTGAGGGAAACCCCTGCGGTCTGCTGAAGCTGAGCAGAAAAAAAGGAACGCCTGTTCCTATTGAGTCCCGCTGGGGACAGCCGTGAAAAAAAACGCTTGCTGTCTCCAGGCTTCTCTGGCGCTCGGTTGGGGCTGAGGGAAACTCCTGCGCTCCTCCGGTCAGCTGAAACTGATCGGAAATGCTTGCGGCTGCTGGATTCAGCTAGAGACGGCAGCGAGAGATTCGCTTGCTCGTCTCTCACCCTCCCCCGCTTCTCCTTGAAAGAAAGGTAAAGAAAAATACAACCTGATCTGAAAATCTGTCCTAGAGCCAAAATCTGTGTTTTCATGATCTAGAGACTAAGTCGAGACTGGGAGCTGGTCTCAGGAAAAGGAGGCGTGGCGATTTGGTTGACTTAGTCTATATGAGCAGAAGACAAGCAAAACCCATTGGTGGATTCTCCACTCGTCATGCTGGAGAATGATCCAATTTTGAGCTTGGTGGACCATATCTTATCCAGGAATGTCCCTTAACTTCCATATTACAAGGTGTTTGTCTCATAAATGGAACATACTTTCTGTTTTGTGCCCACTTCTACTCAGTAGCACTGTACTCTCTTATGGTACTATTGTCTCAATAGAAGCTTCTCCAAACCTTCTGGCAGAATTATTCTGATCTGTAACTTGTGCATGGCTTCACATATCTTATATGAGGAACATAATTCAAGATGAACAAAAATTAAATAGTTTCACAGTGATAACAGCAAGACTGATGTGATTTCTTCTAGATGTTTTGTTGTTCTAATGACAGAAATGGCCTTTAAAGTCTTCTCCCAACTAATAAGTACCACATTCAAAAGACTATCGGTGGACTCAATTCATATTACAGTTCCTCAGTGTAAAAATAGATTTAGAGGATTCTTTATTCAAATAGGTCTACAAGGTTTTTACTGGTATGAAGCATTACAATATGAATACAGGTTTACCAGGAAATAATTCAAGATCTCACTACTCTCTCTACAAAAACAGGAAAGCAAGAGCCTATGGACAATATAAATTTTGCTTAAAGTCTTCTCTATGTATATATTTCTTGCTTATTATGATTCTTTTAAATAGGAAAAACAAATATCTAAATATCAAAGCAAATTTGCATAGAATATCAGCAATAAGCAACTCATGGTCTGTAACAAATATGCACTACATCATTATATTAGCAAAACCATATATATTTAATTTATATCTCACTTTTTGTCACAGAAGCTCCAGGCAATGTACACTGTCCCTTCTGCTATTTTTCCCAACAATTCTGTGAGTTAAGTGGGGCTGAATGAGAATGACTAGCCCAAATCACTCAGCTTCTTTGACTGAGGGTAGACTAGAATCTGGACTCGAAGCCTCCCACTCTTAGTCCAATATCTTAATGCAGTGTTTCTCAACCTTGGCAACTTTAACATGGATGGACTTCAACTCCCAGAATTGCCCACACATCTTAAAGTTGAGAAACACTATCTTAATCACATAATACACTAGTTCCCATGGTGACAGAAGGTGCCAAAGATCTAAGGGTCACTGAATTATCAGTTTCACACAGAATTTTAGTGCTCTCCATATGTAGGAATTCACTATCATTTGGGGCTTACAGATTCGACATATTAGAAAATACAATTTGTCTTCAAGTACAATGAGAGTGCCAGTTTGATGGGGTGGTTAAGGCATTAGGATAGAAACTGGGAGATTGCCTTTCTAATCCAGCCTTAGGCACAAAGCCAGTTGGGTGACCTTGGGCCAGTCCCTCTCTCAGTTCTAGGAAGGAGGCAATGGCAAGCTCCTTCTGAAAACTTTGCCAAGGAAACTGCAGGGATTTGTCCAGCAGTCTCTGAGAATAGGACACAATTGAACAGAAGAAAAAAAAAAATGAAATAACTAAGAGTATTCTTCAAACATTTAAATTTCAGTGCTGTTTCCATAAATATAGCCCAGATTACTTGTGTTCTGTAACAGAACCTCATTGATAAATTACTTAGTCATTGCAGTGATTGCAGAGGAATATTAATATTAATAGAATATTAATTCTATTTAATTTTAAAGAAATGCAAATGTAGGGAAATCAAGTTTAATTTTTGACTGTGCCACTGGAATTGATCTGTAATATGCCATTAAAAGCCACATAAACCTCTTGAGCCTCTCTGCCAATTAGTATGCACCTCTACTAATCCATATTAAATAAACTAAAACTAATTTCACACACTAAGGTAAATAATAATCATGGTTCACAAGCTACTATACCTGGATTTATATAGCATGCTATGCCAAAACTAAAGAAATATTGATTAGTGCATCATGTTAATCCATCAGAATTAAATAATCTCATTCAACTAAAATCTACAGAAGCTACAGAGGAATGAATAGTATAATTTTTTCAGCCTTCTTCTATGGAAGAACAGGGCTTGCCCCAACTACAACAGTTGCTATCAGACCTCATATGACTTTCTGTTATCATACTTGTCTCTCCTCCATAAACTTTTGACTTCACATTATTCTCTGGCAACACCCAAGACAAACAGCTAGATGATTTTGTTTTTTCCCAAGTCTGAAACTAGGCAAGATGCAGACAAGACCTCTGACTTTTCCTTTACTGCATTTGACAGGCACTGTTTTGCCTCTCACCCAAGTTCTAAACTTAATTGTTGCACTTTGTGCTACACTTGACAAATTACTTAAAAGAGTACAGTGCAATGTCAGAAATGACATGCATAAGCAGGACACTGAAGAAATCTGAGAATAGCAGAGATGATGGCAATCATAATGGTTCACTCAACAATCCTCTTCATTTATAATATCAAACTCTACAGTTCTTTCACCTGTGCAAACTAATCAGTATCCTATCCTCCAGACCAGGGGTGTCAAACTGTCTGCCGGTTTCATCATACCAAAGCCTCGTCCACCCCATTGCCGGCAATGCAAAAAGATTTGCTTTGTAACATGTCACGTGAACCCGTGCTCCAGACTGACTAGCTGTCATTCTACTTTCCATTTCTGTTTCTGCATTTGTATTTATTATAATCCTTCAGCAAAATCTATGTGCTACTATATCTTACAAAACTGATGGCATAGTGAAGAGATGTTTGCAAGATGAATTTTGTTTTGTGAGGCCACCTGAAAGGTTTATTCTCAAATGCTTCTTGATATGGCTCGACTTTGGTTTTAAAATATGAATGCATGTCCTAAGACAACCGAAGTAACACAAGGTTTATTTTTTAAAAGCCACCAAAAACCCTTCTACATTAAAGTAACTCAAAATTTAATGAACAGCATTAAAGTCAATGAAGTTGCAAGCATATCACACGTGTCCTTAACAGAATGCCAAACAGCTATCAATCAATACTAATGTTAAAAATCCTAATTTAACGTATTCCCATAAAAGCTTGAAAAAGTGATGAAAGAAATTTAAATTAAAAGTGGAATTGCTGCAGCTTTGCCAACACACATAAAATTTCCAAATGAGAAGATGTACTGTATATGCTATTAATTGCAGAAGCATTAGCTATATTGCCAAAAAATACATATGGAATATTTTGGCAGCAGAAAGTTATTCAGTTATTCAAGTTTCCCAAATGGAAAGTTTAGAAACTAAAAGAATTCTGCATAATTCAAGATTTACAGAGGGTATTAAAATTTCCCAGACAAGTTGACAAGAATTTCAAAAACTATGTCATTCTCTAGCAGGATTAGACAGTATAGGTATGGAAACCATTTACTGAGGTACAATCTTATTTCCTACAAATATACAGCCTTTAAAGCATTCTATGGTATCATCTTTAAACTCTACAACTACCACTACATGAGTGAAATAAGAATGTAAACTTATCCAACACTTCTTAATATACCACACTACTGTACTACAATAGTACATACAGAAGAAATTTAACTCAGTGCTGTTCCAATGAGAAGCACCGGCTTTCCATTTTTGGGAAACAGACCTTTCAACAGTCTCACAGTTTACTAAAGAGCCAAAATTATCATCAATTCACCTCCTGTCCATTCCCAATTTGATAACATGAAAAAAACCCACCGAAATACTTCCGATTATTCATTAGCAGAGATGGGCGTGTAGAAAAGTAACTGGAAAAAATATATCCCATAGCCTTTTAAAACTGAAAGTCGCATCAGAGATTCCACCAGGAAAAAGCATGTTGTTGCAGCAGCTCTAATTTTTGTGTGTTTGCGGGAATTCATGCTCAGCGCCGCCCAACAGAGCGCAGAGGAGCTCGATCCGCACCGCGGATTTACCTGCCAGCGAGGCCACACCGACCTCAACGCGCCTTTCCTCCTCCTCCTCCTCCTCCTCCTCCACGCCGGTGCCTAGGCTCGCAATCATACCCGCCCATCCCCTCGCGTGTTTATTTACCATGTGAGCCCGCTGACTTCCACTGGACTTATTCCTAGGAAAGCAATCCGACAACTGCAGCCTCCGGGCGGCAATTCTAAACCCGGCCTTTCACCGCGGAAGGCCGAAGGGCGAAAGCTGAGATGGTTTCCCGGCGGCTAACCGGGCGGCCCCGTCAGAAGCAATGCCCAAAATGTGGTGCCAGGTGGGGAGAGGAGCCGGGCGAGGCCCGGGGGCGGGAAAGGAGCCGGCCGTTCATTCTCCTTCGCTCCCCCGGTCGCAGCGAAGGCCCAGAGCGCCGTGATCAAGCCGACCCTCAGCGGCCCCCCGAGCGGCCCCCGGCGAAAGTGGGGCGGGACGCTCCACTTTGCCCGCAGCCAGGATCATCCCGTCGGATGCGGCGGGGCCTTCCTCGCCCGGGCGCATCCGCAGGCGCGATGCGGCCACAAAAGGCTCCTTGAGCGCCGTCGCAGCGCCGCCTGGGCCTCGCCCTGCCGGCCGCTTCCCCGCCCACCCCCCCATCCGACGCAAGGCCCACGCGCAGCTGCCGTCGCTGCTGCCGCCGCCTCCGCCGCCGCCGCCGCCGGGTTTGCTCGGCCGGGCGCGTCCTTGGCAAGACTCACCGGAGCGGGACCTGCGCGGCGCGGCTGGAGCAGCGGCTGCAAATGGCGCGCGCTCCTCCTCTTCCCTCCCCTCATGGACGGCGAGAGCGATCCCGGCAACGCGAGGGGTTTCCCGGAACTGTTTCCAGGGACTGGGTTCGATGGGCCAATCGGAACGCAGTGTTTCAGAAGGACAGGCCAGATTTCCTGTAGACGCCGGGAGGCTGGACTCGACAGTGATTTTTCTAGCCAATCGGGCCCAGGGCGCCTTCTGGCCAATCCGCTGAACGGATAAAAGTGTGGCGCGCCGGTAAGGTCGAAACGGAGAGAAGGAAAGAAAAAGCCGGGATTTCTCTTAAAATAGAGGGGGGGGGGGTGTGTTTCTCCTTTCCTTGTCCCGCTCCAAGCGTAGATGAATTCATACCTAAGGTAGCCGGGTTTAACCACTTCAGCCTTCATTGGCTAGCAAAACCTCTCTCATGGGAGAAAGCTAGCTTCTCATGGCCAAAACTAGACTTGAGAGTTCTTGACAAGCTAGTCTTCTATTTGCAGAGATTATGCCGAAATAATAATAATAATAATAATAATAATAATAATATAATAAAATAATAAAAATAATTAATAATAATAATAATAATAATGACTTCTATTATCGTTCTGTGCAGTTAAACTAATAGCCTCTCATTCGGTAAGTTTCTATTCTAGGAAAAACGTTGAAATTGAAACTGCAGTCCTAAATACATTTATTAGGAAGTAAATCCCACAGGAGAGTATGGTGTAGTAATGGAGGTGCTGGCCAAGAGATTGAATTTTAGGCCTTCCATAAAAGCCAGCTGGAGAACTTGGCCACTATCTCTCAGTCCAACCTATCTTACAAAGTTGTGCAGAAATACAAAGCAGGATTATTAAGTACTGTATGTTCACTGCCTTGAGTTACATGTATACACTGTGTGTATTTGTGTGTACCCAGATGTAAAGAGAGGAGGGTGGGATAAAATCTAATAAAGAGACTGCAGTGTAATCTTGGTATTTTTCCTTAATGATGCTGTGTTCATCGGTGTATCCTAATGACAGATTGGATCCATATTTTAATTTATTAATTATATTAAAATATTATAGGTAGTATTTCTGATCAATTTTTCATAATCACTGTGCATTTGGTTAACTGTTTTAACTGTAAAATATACTAGTATCTGTAGCCTTCATTTTGAATTATCATTTTTACAGATTTTTGGCTTTAAAATACAAGATATTCTAGTTATTTTTTCCTCTGAATTTAGTTATTTAGATATTAGATTTTTGTGCTGCCCATCTTGTCTGGAAACCTTAGATTTTTCATCACCTTTCCTCTCTTTGGTGTCACACTATGAGAAGGACAGGGTTTTTTTTTTAACCTCTAAGTTGATAAACTAAGTATAACTGCTAATAATGCTTGAAGGCTATTCTGCCCCAATAAGTGATTCTTATTTCCACATATACAAATAAGTTTCTGTAACATGAAAGATCACTTTGCCTCTAGAATTATACATCCTTGAAGATGATAGCTAAATGTGCTCAGAAGTCACTTTTAAAATTCTGATTTGTTAATATTGTTAAACTTTTTTATCAGAACAATACAAAACACTACATATTCAAGAATATTTTTAAGCTTTATTTTGTACACGAACTAGCCTAGTATTAAAATTTATTATATCAGATGGCTAAACTATTTGCCATTTCTGTTGGATTATCTAGTCCTCTAGGAAATTCCTAAAGAACTAGAAAAAAGTTTTTAATGTAATCCTTCCCCCCACCCCAAAAAATCTCTCAATTCCCTCAAAGTGCTCTGGATAAGAACAATTTTCCATCCTTGGGGAGAAGACACTGTGTAACAGTATACTTTCAAGCCATAGGAAAAAATAGTGGCCATTCTGAAATTTACCTGGCAAATTTGTAATCATATATTTCTTTCTCTCAAAAATCATGATTCAAGAAATACCTATCCATAATTATTATATAAGTACTAAATATTTTTTAGATAAGACATTGACTTTGAAGATAGAGTGAATTGTTTATTTCACACTGTGGTAAGAACCAAATTCTGGGTATTCACAGGGACCATTTTCAAAACAATGGCAGATACCACATCAATAATAGCAGCAACTTAATCATCATCTTGAAGATTCTTGATCTTGTACTTATGACGTTCAATTTCTTTCTGCAGACGGTCTATTTCTTTCTTATGGTGACTTATTTCCTCTTCATGATGTTTTCTAAGATTTGCCAACTGTTCTCTCTCTTTCTCCCTGCAAAAATATTAGGATAATATATATTATTGTCATTTATTCAAACCTCAGCTAAAATATCATGAAAAATAATGGCACAATTATTCACTTCAAAATGCAGTCCTTACAGCATCTACTAAATGACTACCTACCTCACAGGTTATCCCATTGCTAATCAGCAAATACATTAATATAAAGATGGCCTGGCTCATTTATAAAGGTAATAACATGATTTAAGTTATTTGCTATTGAATATTCCATCTTTCCTTTTACAAACTCAAGACTCATTTCCCCCATTCCTCACAAATTTGTTAATGCAAAACATTTTGGTTCAAGTTTGCTGTTCAAAATTCCATGAAATATTCTGCTTTAAGTGTAGAATTGCTTTTTCAACATATCAAGCATTCAGGGATTTAGCTGGGAGAATATTTGGCCGGATGGACATGAAATGCAATAACTGGAGCATGAGGTGACCTCCAAATCTAACACTATAAATTTGTATGAGATGCCAGCTATGTTATCCTCTGAAAGAGGGAGAAACAAATAGGAAATGTGGAGCTAAAGTAGTATGAATAGTTACAATATTTCACTGCTTTCAGGTGTTTAAAGCAGTTCACGTGCATATTCTAGAGCAGGGATAGGCAACCTTGGCTCTTTTATGACTCCTGGACTTCAACTCCCAGAATTCCTGAGTTGAAGTCCAAGTCATAAAAGAGCCAAGGTTGCCTACCCCTGTTCTAGAGTCTAGACTTTATCCTTAAAATAAACCCATACAAATAAATTGATATTATCTCCCATATTACAGACAGTAAGTATTGGGGATAAGATGCCTACATTTTTTATAGCAGAAATCAGGTTCATAATTAGTGAAGTTTATGAGTTTAGGTACCATTTAGTAATTACAGGAATAACTGATTTTTTTCTCCGAAGAGATGAAGTTAGTTTATATATCTCCTAATCCCAATTTTATCACAACTGTGAGATAGGGTTGACTGGAAGATGTTTGGTTCCAAAATAAAGTCCAGTGTCCCCTTGAGATGAATTATCAGTTGACTACCTGGACACATCCATATTTTCTTGGCAACATGCAATTAGTTTGCCTACTCTTTCTTTACTGTTTCAGAGCTAATCCCTCTCACTTCACAGCCAAAGGAATATGGCTGTATCTACTAAAGGAAGACTTGACTTTGGGTCCAGCATCTTCTAACTTGCCTTGTCACCCAAAATATTTATATATGAGACTCTTGTGCAACATGAGAGGGGAAAGGCAGTTGTGGAAAAAGGGAGAGAGACCCAGGTTCGAATGTGTATCACACCAGGGAGACACGGGTTCAAATGTGCTATCAGTCACAGAAGAATCCTGAGTGAGTTTGGGCCAAACATTCTCAGCCTTCCCCACACAATCCTTATTACTAAGAAAAAAATCAGAAATGGAAAGGCAGTTCATACCATCTTGAATTTCTGAAGGAAAAGCAGGTCAGAAATTGAAAATATGTCACTAAATCTAAAAAAAAGGTCATTAATTACTAAATGGGTGAATTGCAGAATACCCTAGATGAGGGTAAAACGGAAGCCCAATCATTGTTTCAGCCTGTGTGACTCAGGGTCTTATGTTCAACCCTAGTCTATTTTTTTTGTTCTGGCGTGGCATTCCACGGGTAAATCAACTTGCTCGCTAATTCGTGTTTAATGTAATGTGTGAATTCAGACATAACATACTTGAAGTAGCGTTCCTCCGCAGCCGCTTCCCGTTTTCCAAATGCGCCGCCAGCTTCACGGATGGATCCGCCTCCACCCCCGCCTTTTCCAGCACCTTTGCCGAGCTCACCCAGCTCAGGAGGGGAGGGGAAAAGGAGGCATACATTTTAGACGCTACCGCCTTTGCCTCCAGCACCAATTCAGACCCGCCCGCCTCCCCTTCTCAGCGAAGACCTCCCCGAGGCCCTACTGCACCGGAGGCTCTGCAGCCGAACCACCGATACCGACGCTACCTGATCGGAGCCCGAGCTCCAGGCCCGCTGCTGCTGGGGCAAAGCCATCGCTCCTCGCAACCCTGATCTGAAAATCGCACCAACAGCAGCCATCTCAGCTCTGTCCTTGGAAGTGGATGGGTGGGTGTATCTGGTTGCTGGAGGAAAAGGAAGGGCAAAGTGAAGCGAAGGCCAATCGGAGGAGAAGAGGGAACGAATTAGGCCCAATCAGAGCCACGCAGGAACTATAGAGGCCAGTCGTTCGCATTTTGAACTTCCGTCGTCTCAGGGAGCTCTTCTAGGCACGTTTATCTATGGAGAGGCGTGACTTAAAGGATCCGCCCTTATTCTTGGCTTTTCCGGGATAATTTTCTGACATTGACTGTAAACATAGAAATATGTAGCGTGTGGACTTAGACTTACCAATCAGTAGCTATGAATATTTTTTTTTCCTATTAGAGAAGGGGTCTTCAAACTTGGCCCTTTTATGACTTGTGGACTTCAACTCCCAGAATTCCTCAACCAGGCATGCCTGGATGAGGAATTCTGGGAGTTGAAGTCCACAAGTCATAAAAGGGCCAAGTTTGAAGACCCCTGTATTAAAGGATCTTAATCTTTCCTCGCTTTTGAACGATGAGAAAGATGGATTTCAATCTCTGAAAAATAATTAAATTAGGCTTGTGCGGTCTGCTTGCAAGGGATTGTCTTTTTGTTAGCAAGTCGATCTTTACTCGTTTTGGGTCCTGCGTTTCTGGGAACTGAAGTCCACGCAGCTAAAAGTGGATGAGGTTGAGAAACACTATTGCGGAGGATAAAAGAAGAGAAAAGAGCTGACTATGGGTCCTTGTAGGAAATATTTCTTGTTCCAAAAAAAAGCAAAGAAAAATAAACCAGAAATTTTGTTGTGCCTAAGCGAGCGGGAGGAGAACTACAGAACACAGTACCGGCCAAGACACAAGAAGGCCTCGGCGCTCTGGCCCTTTAAGAGCCGCCCCGCCCTCCCGCCCTCCCGCTCGGAAAGGAAGACATTGTGGGTCACGTGCCGGTGCCCATGCGGGATCGGTCCGGATCAGGTGGAAAGGGCGCGCGGCCGGTCACGTGGTACCAGAAATGGCGGCTCCGGGCGAGCGAGAGGCGGGCGGCGGCGCTGAGGAGGCGTTTCTCACCTTCTACACGGAGGTATCGCGAGCCGGTCTCCGTCCCTAGAGAGCAGAGGGACGCCTTGTTCTTCTGGCCCGCCTCGGCCTGCCCCGGGTCACAGGGCTCGTGGCTGTAGTGGTTTCTTCCAGCCGGGCTGGGCTTCTCCCTTCCGGCCGATTGCTGAAGGTGCCGGTGCCTCGCGGTCCTTCTTGCCAGCTCGGCCGTTCTTTCCCCCTTCCCGGTCCCTTCGGATGGAGCGGGTGGGGGCGTTGGGTAAAGGAGCCTTTCTCGGCCTCTCGTGCAAGGCGCGGTCTGCACCGGGGCCAAAGAAGCTAGCTTGTCACCTTTGAGGGGGTTTGCCTTCCTGCCACTCGTGGCCATTTGTTGCTTTGGCTGGGGCACATGGAAGCTGTAGTCTGAAGGGCGCTCGGGGTGGCTACAGTTGGCACGGAGCCTATTAATGGAAAACTAGCTAGAAAACGAGATGGGCAGGGAGCCAAGGGAATTCCATCGCTTGAGTGTAGGAGAGGAACAGAGCATTGATTGCCAGCCTGTTTTCTTATTTTTCATCAAATTATTTTCTTGGAGCCCCAGGCTTAATTCTAATGCCTTGTTCTTTCATTGTGCATAAGATAGGGACTCGATCAGAAATATGTTAAGTCACATATATGTGATGACATGTTAACATTTGCTCTGCAATCACCTGTGCACTTATATGTCCTCAGGATTTGGGCCCAAACTACTATGATTACAATGTTTTCAGTCGTTCCCAGCTGCATAATTTCAAACTCCTAAGATTTTGGTCCTGATCTTCCTGCTCCTAAACTTATTCCTTTTCTATTTTCTGCTAATCCCTTACATATATCCTTTATTTTTGTTCATTTTTTCTTTCAAATCAAATCCCAGTTGATTGGTAGTACAACTTTTAAGATTTCATTATAACTTTATCACTTCATCAATAGTTACAGCTAGTAAAGAGAACAGTATCCAGGTTATTTGCTTTTGAGATATCTTCCCATTCTGTAAAATGGTGGGTTTTGAAATCTTGGAACGCGTGTATGGGGCTAAATGTAAATTTACCTAGTTGTTGCATTTTGCCCTATCTTGTTTGTGGTTATTTGTATTAGTATCAAACATTATACCAAGTTCAACCAGTGCTGCCTCTTAGAGCAGGTCTTTTCAACCTTTTCACCGATTGTACCACTTTTAGGATATGGCAATATTCGAGCAAGGTGTCAAAAACTTGATGACCAAAAAAACCCCAAAACTGTTCAAAGTTGCAATTGTACTGAAATGACATGACCATTTTTCACACTTATGACCATTGCAGCATGCCCAGGGTCATGTGATTTATATTTGGATGCGTGGCAACTGATTCATATTTATGATGGTCACAGTGTCCCCTTTTGCAACCTTTTGACAAGCAATGGCAGGGCTGCTGGTGGCCAAGTGCTAAGGCAGGACTTCCCTCCCTCCTTCCCTGCCTCCTTCTCTCTCATTCCCATCTCCTTCTGAAGGAAGAATTTGAACCCCCCCACCCCCATATTTTCCCTCTTTCATATATTCATCAAACAAGGGAAAGCCTCCAGAGACAGAAAAGACAAGCAGCTGAGGGAACTAGCTTAAAAAGGTGCATTCCCCTTTAAGAATTAGCTACTGGCTAGAAAGGAAAGTTAAGGAGCCGGCAGCCAGCAGTTAAGGAAGAAAAAAATGTAGTAAGTACTGGTTGCTGGCTAAGAAAGCCTCCCCAAATGGCTCCATTTATAAGTAAAGGAATGCTGCAGGCAAAATCCATTCAGGAGAAAAATACTTCAAAATCCCTTGCAGCAAAACTTACAGCTAACAATAGCAGAGCAATAGAATCTAACAGGAGACGTCAGCCATATAGAAACTGCCAAACACTCCTTAAGAACACAACACCCACATTGCACAAATCCCAGAACTTCAAAGTCACAAAAGCACATAAGAATCCTTCCACTCTCCATCTCCCTCCCTCTGTGCCTCACTTCCAGCGATGCTGCCTTTCTTCATTCCTCTCCCCCACTGCGTTTCTTGCCTGTTTGTTGCTGCCAGCACAGGTGGCTGCCACAAAAGTTGTAGATAGGCTCATGGTCAGCCTGCTTGATCTCCTCTCCCCCCACCCTCCTCCTTTCCCTTCAGTGCAGCTAGAGCTGACTCTGGCTCCTCCCAAGGCTGCCTCTTTTTTCCTCTCCCTCTCCCACCCAAACTGCCTCCTTTTATAGCCTCTCCTATCTCTGTCCCCTCCTCCTCCTTTCTCTTCTGGTGAGCTGGAAGTGAGCCTGGGGCCTTTGCCTCGCCCCAGCCACTCTGCAGCTCCAGAGGACTCTCTCACAGTAAGTCCTGTGCTGCGCTGGCTCGTTCCCTCCCCCACTACACTTGGTTGGGCAGGGCCACATACCACCTGCCACGTGCTACTGTACCACAGATGGGACACGTACCACTGATTGAAAAGCCCTGTCTTAGAGAACTTCAGAAGAGGAGAAGGGGCACAACTGTAATAACCAACATTTTTTTTTATCCTGTTGCATATATAATCATATATGGATTTGGGCATCAATAGGTGGTAGCAAAGAGTTATCTGTCTCTCTGCTGCCATCTAGGGATTCTCTGGTATAGAAAATGGCATCCCTATTGAAATATGAAATAAATTGAAAATGATGTGATCACATACATAAGTGATATTATTTTGTTATGTATATTCAACAATTTAATTCAGTTGGGTTTATTCGGCATACTTAGTTCATTGAGTTGCTTTCAATGAAGTATACATCATAGTCTTCCCTAACAGTGTCTTCCAAATGTGTTGAGCAATAGCTCCTATTATTTCTAGCATTTTCCTGTGGAGTTTTAGGTGTTTATGTCAGTGTCGGCCCTAATCTAGTTGACTTTAGCTCAGTCCACAAGATATATTGCCATAATTAATTGAGGCTTTTTGGATTAACCCAATTATTTTATTATTTGTATCCCACTTTTATTATCCAACACATCTTCCGCCTCCTATTTTCCCTACAACAATTATCTGGTGCAATTCTGGTTATTAATGATGTGCTAATTTCTACAGGTAAAGCAAATTGAAAAACGAGATTCTGTTTTAACTTCAAAAAATCAGATTGAAAGGCTTACCAGGCCTGGGTGCTCCTATTTTAATCTGAATCCCTTTGAGGTATGTTTAAATTTGTTTTCTTTATTCATTGTCCCACCACTGCAGGTTTTTTTGTATAGATCCTGTTACTTGAAAGAGATATGCAAACTAGCAGGGTTCATTCCTGGAACATTTGGCTTCGCACACAACTAATTATTTGCTTGTGTCATACCACTTGTGGTAAACTTTTATATTGGCATATTAGTTGCTTGCTCTCATAGTGAATCATTTCATTAAAGTATTTGAGAATCCTCTAACATTTTATTTTTGAACCTAAGGTTTACTCGTTCTTTTATACTACAAATGGCATCACTCTTGATCCCCTTTAGAAATGAGTCAATGAATTAGTAAGAGGTAACCTAGTTATTTAGGCATTCACTCTAGATTTGAAGTACATTTTGCAGCAGAGTAAGAATTCAGCCCATCATTTAAATTCATACATGCATTTGTGTTTTGTTGATTCGCTATTATTTTTCAGTTACTAAGTCTGCTGGAAGGACACATGGAATTTTAACAAGTGGCAGTATAAAATGGTGCTTTTCAGAGTGCCAAGAACCATATTCTCTGGTCCTTTACCCTTCTTGCTACTTTTCCATCTTCATCTTAGTGTTTGATAACCACTGAGCATGCCTAATTGTTGCTGGATGGTTTTAGAGATTACTCCCTGAAGAATTTCCCTATTGAAGGATTTTGGTTTTGTACTTTCTTGATGATCTTAAAGTTTCTGGAGCATGGAGATAACTCATTTCATGAATAGTGCTGTTTGTGTGTTTTCTAGGTACTACCTTTATTCTGACTCTGTAAACCGCTTAGAGTGCTGTAAAGCACTCTGTAAGGTTTAAGTGCTATTGCTACTTTTATTTTATTTTTTAAATGTCACTTTTGGACTTTTCCAGGTACTGCAATTGGATCCTGAAGTCACTGATGAAGAAATAAAGAAAAGATTCCGTCAGGTATATGGCTTCTATAGTTTGCTAAACATGGAGGAGACCCTCTTGGCAGTTGTAGGGATCAATAAATTTATTTGAGAACTGCAGCTTACCGTTTCATTGAACATACGCAGCATGCAAACTTAAATTTACAAAGTGCTTTGTAACGCTATATAAACATTCATGTGTTTGGAGTTATCCCAATTGCTCTAATTTAAGGGATTACATTGTTTCATTACTTTGAAAGACTAGTAGTCAATGCAGCATGACTATGCAGAAGGTTAGATAGATAAGCATTGGGTATATAATAAAAGATGAAATCAAAGAATAATTCACCAGGTTATGATTTGGCAAAGAATTATGTTTGGTAACTATGATGCAGAGTTTTGGTTTGTTTCTGTTGTATTTTTTATTGTGTATTTTATTCCCAGATATTCCCAGAGTAGCAACCAATTAGAGTGGCCTATAAATAAATATGCAATTCAATTCAATCTTTATTATGATCACAGACCACCACGAAAATAAATATGCAAAACTTCCCCCCTTCTCATTCTATTTCCCAAACAGTTAGCAATACTGTTCTGATAGCTTTCTTGAGGTATGACAAAATTTCCTCCAGTCTAGAAACTTGTGTCTGAATTTGGATATTTTGTACTGAAATCACAAATATGAGCACCTAAATACATTTTATAGCTTGTGTTTTTTATCAGTGTTTTATCACTTTAAAATGTTTAATAAAGAGATTGTTAGAATATTCAGTATTATAATATTGAATAAATCACACATTTGTGTCCTTTAAGAAATTAATATGTCAATATCTCTGAATAGTACTTGCTATGCTTCCCTGGCTATATAGCATTGAAGAAATTGGCTCAATGAGATTGAGGAATGTTTGTTTATTATAACTGGAAAGAAGGGCTTGGTTTATGTGATTATTTCATATATTTTGATATATCCATGTTCTTTAATTATATAGTTATCCATATTGGTCCATCCTGACAAAAATCAAGATGATCCTGACAGAGCACAAAAAGCTTTTGAAGGTACTTCCCTGTTTTTTCTATGTTTAAGATTTCAGGCATTAGCAGTGTATCCAGTAGGCGATTCTGATGTTAGCATGAAAAGATAAATTACATGTTGCCTTTTTTGCTAGATTCCTAAAAACAAATATGTCTTTATGTTTTCTCTAGTAGTATAGATTTTTCAAGTTGTATGAATGTGCTGATAGAAATGTTTGGTTTGTCAGCTGTCGACAAAGCATACAAGCTATTGTTGGACCAGGAGCAAAAGAAGAGAGCCTTGGATGTGATACAGGCTGGAAAAGAATACGTGGAGCACATTGTAAGTATCGCACATGGCAGCCAGCCTGTGATCCAAGGGGAGAGGTGTGAACTACAGCAGTTGGCATCTGTTTGTGTATTGCTTAGACTGAGAATAATATATGTTTAAATTGTTCCAAAGCTTGCCTATATTTTAGGCAGTTTGCACCACAGCTTTGATGAAGATTAACTGTGATGATAAAGAGAAGGGGCGTTGTCTTACCTGAACGCCTTTTCTCAGCATGACGATGGAGAATCCACAGATGGGTTGATCTTGCCTTTCTGCCCTAGATACTAAGTCAATCAACCTTTGCCACGCTTCTCTCCTTCCAGGTAGGAATCCCCAGTCACGACGAAGGCGCAGCAGTTGATGATTGTACAATGTGGTGGTGGCTCAAATTCCCCTGGCACAGGACCAGATGGACCCAAGGGAGGGGGGATGGATTCTCCATCGTCATGCTGAGAAAAGGCGTTCAGGTAAGACAACGCCCCTTCTCCAGCATGACGAATGGAGAATCCACAGATGGGACATACCAAAGCCTCACTGTCCCTATGGATGGGAAGAAGTCGGGGCCTGTGTCCCACTATCTGTTACTACCCTTTGGAGAACTCTCCTGCCAAATGAAGTGTCAGCTGAGGCAAACTTATCTAGCTTATAATGCCTCACAAATGGGGAAGGCGATGACCAAGTCGCCGCCTTGCATATCTCTTCGATGGACGCCTGTGTTGCCCATGCCGCTAAAGTTGCTGCACTGCGAGGAGTGTGCGGTGATTCGTCTTGGAACTGGCAAGGAGTGTGTCTGGTATGCCTCTGCTATACAAGCCCTAATCCATCTGCCGATAATAGAGGCAGTCACCTTCTGACCCAGTAAAGAGCGGTGGAATGAAACGAATAGGGCTTCAGATTTGCGAAAGGAGGCAGTTCGCTTAATATAGCGACGCAAGGCTCTACGAATGTCCAAGGTGTGCCACTTACGTTCCAAATCGTGGGACGGCTTAGGACAAAAATCCGGCAGTACAAGCTCCTGCGTCCTGTGAAACAATGAGTTGATCTTGGGGACGAAGGAGGGGTCTAAGCGTAGGACCAATGAAAGATACATAAGTCCTCTCTAATTGAGAGTGCTGCCAATTCCAAGATGCAACTAGCTGATGTGACGGCGACCTTGAGAGTCAAGAACTGTATAGTAGAGGTTCTGATGGGCTCAAATGGAGGTAAAGTGAGAGCCTGTAAGACCTTGGACAGATCCCAAGAGGGATATCTGTGAACCACGGGCGGTTTGCTGTTGATTGCTCCCCTGACGAAGGAATGTACCATGGGGTGTTGAGCCAAAGGCTCTGAGCTGCCATATGTGAGCACCGTGGACAGAGCAGCAACTTATCTGCGGATAGTGTTGGGTGCTAAACCCCTTAAATCCCTCCAGTAAATAATGCAAAATTCTTGGAATAGTAATTGTGGCTGGATCTAACTGTTGCCTCCCACACCAGTTACAGAAATTCTTCCATGTGGAATCATAAATTCTATTTGTTGCCGGCCTCCTTGAAGCCTGAATCATGGTAATCACGTCTGATGAGTAGGACTCCTTTGCTAGGAGTCTCCTTTCAAATGCCAGACGGCTAGCTGGAGCCACTGGGGCTCTGGGTGTTGTAGAACGCCCTGGCTGAGGGAGATTCGATCTGGGGGTATCCTCCACGGAGGAGAGATCGAGAGACTTATGAGGTCGGCAAACCACGGCCGTCTTGGCCAGTGCGGAGCAACGAGTATCACCTCTGCCTGTTCCTGCAGTATCTTCCAGATAACTGCCTGGATCAGAGGGAGAGGAGGGAATGCATACATTGGCTCTCTGGGCCATGGGCTGCGGAGGGCATCTACCCTTTCCGCCCAAGGAGACGGGAACCGGGAGAAAAATCTCGGGAGCTGAGAATTTGCCGGGGTAGCAAACAAGTCCAGCGTTGGATGACCGACCTCTCCGATATCTCCCTGAAGAGATCTAATAATAATAATAATAATTTAATAATAATAATTTAATTTGTACCCCGCCCTTCTCCTCATAGGACTCTGGGTGCAGGCGCCACTCGGAGTGGTCCACTGTTGCCCTGCTTAAGAAATCCGCTTGTTGATTCGTCTCTCCCGAGATGTGCTCGGCCTTGAGAGATGAGAGGTTGGTCTCTGCCCAGGTTCCCAATAATTGAGCCTTGGCCATGAGGGACCTGGAGTGGGTACCCCCTTGCCTGTTGATATGGGCTTTCGCTGCCACGTCCGTGAGGACTAGGGCGTGTTGCCTCGCCACTGTGTTGCGGAAGTGTCATAGAGCCAGATGTACAGCTCTGAACTCCAACCAGTTTATGTTGTGCTTCAGATCTGATCTGGACCACCGACCCTGGGCCAGCTTCGATTGCAGGTGCAGTCCCCAGCCGAATAAACTGGCATCCAATGTTAGGATGAAACAGTTGGGCTCCTTGAATAAGTTTCCCCTGGACATCGCTGGGAAGGCCCACCACTGGAGGGATTTTAGGGTCTGTGACGGGACCCTTACCCTGTGGTTGGAGGAACTGGTGCCTAGTCTCTGGAATGGGAGCAAGAACTACTGCTATGCAGGAGACCATCTTTCCTAGCAGTTGAGAAAGAGTCGCTGGGGTGACTACTCACTCCCTTTGAACCTGGGTGACTAGAGATCATATGCTGTCCCACCGTTCCTGAGACAGGTAAACCTCGCACTTCCTTGTATCTATCACCATGCCCAGATGAAGGAGGCAAGAGGAGGGAACTATCTGGCTTTTCTGGAAATTCACTGAAAACCCGTGGTCCTGGCGGGACCCTGGCCTGCAATTGGCGAAGCCAGAGGAGCGAAGTTCTGGTGAAATTTGATGGCTTGATGGGTCCTGCGGAAATTAAGGCTGAGGCTTGATGGGTCCTGCTGAAATTAAGTTCTGCTTTTTTATCCTCTGATTTTAAAGCCTCCGCTATATCTCCAGTCACAGTGAAGGAAGAAACCAATGGTGCTAAGGGCTCATCTACCGTGGGGACTGCTAGCAACTCTGACCGTGCTGGGGCCACATTAAACAACTTTTTGTCAATCCCCTCCAGGGATGGAAAGGTACCAGGCGTCCCCCATTGTCTTTGGACTGTATTGAGGAAAAGGGGAGGACAGGGAATGTCCTGCTGGGTAAAAGTTGGTTCTGAAAAAACCTGACTGGTAAGTCCCTGGCTGGTGGAAGGTTCAGCTTGAGGAACCCCTTCAGAACCAATTTGAGCCATGCTCCTGGCCTTGTGAAGTAGAGACTTAAAGAGGGCTGGATTAAACAGACCTATGAAAGGAGGGGGATCAGGGGATAGGTCCTCATCTTCTGACATCCCCTGCTCTGTCTGTTCATCGTCCCCTATGAACGACATTCTGCTCCGGGAGGAATGGGAGGGGGAAACCGACCTTTGGTATGCTGCTGCTTCCGCCTGGGAGAGATAAGGTGGGAACCCTGATGCCATAGATTCAGGCCGAGCCCTCTGGTGCAGGGTTGAAGCCACGCCCTGAGCAATAGCCTGAGAAATCAGAACCTGTATTTGTTCTGATAATTCTATTCCCTGAGTCTCTGGAGGGCGAAGCCCTGCCGCTGTAGGGGTGAATATGGCCTCTGGGCCCAGAGGTCTAGATGTATTTGGAGGAACAGGGATCCGAAGACCAATCCCCTCACTAGAAGGGGGAACCATCTCCACCTGCTCTGCCATGGGAAAGGGGCGTTGTCTTACCTGAACGCCTTTTCTCAGCACGGAGATGGAGGATCCACAGAATGGGTTTAGACTGTTTTCCTGCCGAATCAGATCAAGTCAGTCAGAGTTGCCACGCCCCGTCCAGGAGCACAGATCCCAGTCTTGACGCGAGCGAAGCCATTGACTGACACAAGACGTACTGGCTCATAAACTAAACTGTCCTAGTCGTTAAACGACCCAAAGAAAAAGAGGGAGGGGGTGGATCCTCCATCTCCGTGCTGAGTAAAGGCGTACAGGTAAGACAACGCCCCTTCTCCAGCACTGGAGATGGAGGATCCACAGAATGGGACATACCAAAGCCTACTGTCCCTTAGGGTGGGAAGCAGACCGGTCCGGTGTGGCACTCTGATGAACTACCTGTTGGAGTACCCTCCTACCAAAGGAGGCCTTCGCCAAGGCAAATTTATCGATTTTATAGTGCCGAATAAATGGAGAAGGCGATGACCAAGTGGCCACTCTGCAGACGTCTTCAATGGATGCCTGAGTAGCCCAGGCCGCAAACGTAGCAGCACTCCGAGTGGAGTGAGCTGTGACCCGTCGTGGAACCGGTAAGGATTCAGCCTGATATGCTCCGGAGATGCACACCCTAATCCACCTGCCAATTGCGGACAAGGAGACCTTTCGATCCCTGGAGGAGGAGTGGAAGGATACAAACAGGGCCTCTGATTTTCGGAAATCCGCTGTCCGTGAAATATAATAACGGAGCGCCCTGCGGACATCCAAGCGATGCCATTGCCTTTCCAGGGTATACGATGGGTCAGGGCAAAAATCCGGGAGCACAATATCCTGGGACCTATGGAACAGTGAATTTACCTTTGGTAGGAAAGTGGGGTCAAGGCGAAGAGTCACCCTATCCGAGTGGAAAATGCATAGGTCCTTGCGGACCGAGAGTGCGGCCAGCTTGGAGATATGCCGAGCCGACGTGATAGCCACTAAGAATGCCACCTTGTGAGACAGGTGGCGAAGGTTGCATAATCCTAGGGGGTTCGAATGGCGACTTCGTCAGGGCCAGAAGTACCCGTGGCAGATCCCAGGAAGGGTACCTATGTACTGCAGATGGTCTGGTGTTAGCTGCGCCCTTAAGGAATGATCGAAGCAGGGGATGATGCCCTAACGACCCCCCCAGAGTCACAAGTGAGGACAGTGGCAAGAGCAGCTATTTGTCTGCGTAATGTGTTCGGAGCTAATCCCCTCTCCAGACCCTCCAACAGATATTCCAAAATATGGGGAATAGTGAGTTGTGAGAGTGGCAAGTTGCG